TTAACAAATCGGAGGAGGAATCCGATTCGCCGGTGGTGATCACGAGGCGGCGCAACCAGTCGTGGAGCTCCATTGATTTGAACGAGTACCGAGTCTACAAGTCCGAATCGTTCGGTGACTCGGCGGGGAAACTCGGCGCCGACGCGGCGACGCAGACGGAGGACAAGCGGAGGCGGAGGAGGGCGGCGAGGGAGGAAGAAGCGGGAGAGATTCAAGAGGAAAACGGAATTGAAGCGGAAATGGAGGGAAATAGGGTGGAGCACGTGACGCACGTGAGTTATGATAATAATAATAATAATAATCGCATTACGGAGCTGAGTAGGGAAGAGATCTCGCCTCCGCCGTCGGATTCGAGTCCCGAGACGCTGGAGACGCTGATGAAGGCGGATGGACGGCTCGGATTGCGGTCTTTGGAATCTGAGAAAGGGAATCTGACGGTTGAGAGTTGTCCTAGCGGGAGAATGAGAGCCTCGTCGGTTCTGTTGCAGTTGTTATCGTGCGGTGCTGTGTCTTTCAAAGAGTGTGGGGCAAACTCGGTGAAGGATCAAGGGTTCTCGTTGGTTGGTCACTACAAGTCCAGGATGCCCCGCGGAGCAGGGAATCATGCGGGGAAGGAAACGGGGACATCGATGGAAATTCCGGATTTGAGCGGGGTAAGGTTGGAAGATAAAGAATATTTTAGTGGAAGCTTGATCGAAACTAAGAAAGTGGAAATCCCTGCTTTGAAGAGGTCCTCTTCTTACAATGCCGATAGGTACGTTACGCTTGTGCATAAACAAGTTTAGTAAATTAGAGAGCCATTTTTTTTTTTTGCTGCCACGAGAATTTTGGCTCATCGTCGTTAATGAATATATTCGATGTAGTTTCTATTATAAGAAATGAATTTAGATTATTTATGTCATCTAATAACATGTTCTATTTTTTATTTAGCAATTTCTACCTTTATTTATGGGTTTATTTTTATAACCAGTGTTATGGTATGGTGTGTCTTTTGCAAATTCCTTTGTGAAATAAAGTTTGTGATCTGTGTCCCTCTGTGTGTACCTAGTAATTAGCAACGTTGGAGAATGTGGACATTGACATTCATACAGTTTCTGCTCCATAGGTTAAATAAAATATTGTGGGTAAGCATATGAGAATGCTTCTAAGTTCGAGGACATAGAAAGAAAGCATCTTGAGATTGAAGTCGTATAAAAAATGTTATTCGAGTTGAACACGTAGGTCAGATTTTGTTATTCGAGTTCAACGTATAAAACATTTTGCTATACAATATTGCACAGGTCTGATTATTATAATAGGATATTATATTCGTCACTTAACTTTTTCTTACATCTCTGTTTCCTTTTTTGGTCTTTTTTCTCTCCATCTTTTTTATTAGATCATTTATATCAGTTTTTTTTTTTTTATTTTTTGTCTCTCTTTTTCTTTCCCCCATCCACTCTAATGAAATGTATATAAACCATTTTCCATTAGAATAATCTAATTCCAGTATAAAATAGGGAGTCGGATTGCGCGGGAGAGGTGGTCTTAATTTGGAACATTATAAGTTATTTTAAAAAAATTGAATTAATCTTACACATCTTAAGATTTCAAAATTTTGGATATCCTATGTATTATTGTCAGAACTGGGTAGGTTTCTTACTTCCTCTGTCTCCGGATGTTGTCCAGTCTGAATTTCTGATTGTTCATCATGTAGCCTTCTGCTTATTTCTAGCTGAAATCCAAAACCTAAGTAATTATGCTTAAACCTTTTAAGATATTGCTCGAAATGTCATTTGATTGTTTTTTGTTTATGAATCTGCTTTGGGTGCAAAATTGTCCAATTTACACAAATGAGTAGCTAATAATAGCTTGTTATAATTGGTTTTGCACCGTAACATAAGATGCTGATACTTGACTGTGTCGTGTCTGTTCTGTTCCATCTGGTACCCAGTATGTATGGTGAATTAATTACATACTTCTTAAATTTTAGTTAATGATGCAACTATTCATACCTGTCTTTTTTGTTTTGGTCCCATTAGTATTTGTCAGCTTCTGTATGTGGGGTCTAATTTAAAGCATCCGAAGAGTTGATCATTCGTTTCTCATAAATTAACATGCCAGTTTGCCACCTAGAATTATACTAGTAGTACGAAATCAGCGACAAGTGGGATGCATTGGGGTAAAAACAGAAATTTCCACCGGGCACTTTGGGCAATGAGTACGTCAATACATTCAAATATTATATGCCCTGTTTTGATTGCTGACTGCAATTCATACACTATCATTTAATCAATCATGGACTAGCAATTTGGCATGTTATTGAAGAATTAATTAATTATTATTGTATAATAATTTTTTTAATGATCGAATATAATGTCATTAGATGACACGATTAAATATTGCCTTTATGATTATGACAGTGACATAAATTGCTTTATGAATAATGTGGTTTTGTCTGTGATCTCTTGGTCCTTGCAGCGGTTCCCGGTTACAAATGGTGGAGCATGAAGAAGTAGTGAGGGCAAAGTGCATACCGCGGAAGTCTAAGACGCTACAAGCAAAGAAAGAAGAGGGTGCTTCCCCGCATATTATTAGCAATGGCCAACATGGTAGCAAAAGATTTGACGCACAGGCACAACAATAAATTGATACTTTTAATGAATATAAAGAGAAAGGAAACATTGGCAATGGAGGTCGTAGCTCAATAGCTGATAGCGGAGAAGAGAACAAAAGCTTGGAAAAGTGAGGTTAACTAGATCTAGCAGTGTGGATGAATGTATAAATATGGAAGCAGATAGGATCAGTACTAATCAAGTAGAGGGCAGTATAGTGGCCTAAAGCTTCGCAATTTGCAAGTCACAGGAAGAAAATACAAGTTTGTAGCCCTTGTCCATATTCATGTTTAGGTTTTGGCCTAAAGTAAGTATATGGGTGGCATTAGTTTCCATTCCTGGCGTTATATGGCCCTTGTGATGCGGTGGTAATTGCCTTTTTTCTGGTGCATAATTGCCTTTTTTTCTTTTTTACTTTACCACACATACTTCAATAAAGTTAATGATCTCACCACGTCAGTAGTATTTAAAAAAATTTCTACTATAAAATTCATGAAAGAATATTGTGGTTGGTTCAATAATTGTAGGGTTTTTGACAGATAAAAATGGTAAAATTAAAATATTTGAATGGTTTGATTCATAGAGCTGGTAGAGAGGAATTTTAACTTTTGTTTTCCCTTCATTTGGCTTGTAACGAGAATAAATTAAAAGAAAATGATATTAACCAATATACACTTTTGTTTTCCCTGAAAGCAAGCATCCATGATATTCGTCCATATAATGATTCGTTAAATATGAATTTAGGAGCCATACATTAAACACCATGAAATGGAGAACGGTAGAGGAGTGAAAAAGATGACGAACCTGGACCAAAATAGCTGCAAAAAGTGAAGCTAGCAAATAAGGAAAGAAATTTTTTTATTCAAACAAAGCGAGGTTGTCTTTGCCTTTACGAAGGAGATGCAAAGGTTTCAAAATAAGGAAAAGACAATTTTTTATTCAAATAATAATCTCAAGCCAACTTACTAATTTAAGTTAGAGAATAACAAAAGTCGCTTTTCTTTCTTTCTAAAAATATGAAATTTAAAATTAAAGAATGGTAAAAGGAAAGAAAAAATTAAATTTTATCTTTAAAAAATACAAATAAAAACTTTATTCTCCTACTTTCTCTTTAATTAAATAAAAAAATACATTGTTATTCGTTTTTTATTTTATTTAATTTTCTCTTCATCCAACCAAAACGTCGTATCAATTTTAGAACTCGAAAGCAATTGAAAGTCACTTTTTTCCATAGCTTTAATTTAAAAATTTTAAATTAATAAGATAAAATTATAAATAAAAAAACATTTTTTCTCAACAAAATATGATTAAAAAGGAATAAAAGTAATGAAGAGGAGAATATTTAATTAGAAAATATTTAAATGTTTTTATAATCTTTATAATTTTATGAACTTTATCTTTTAATTTTATAGTTAAAAATATTCTGTTTCTAATCTTTATATAATATATATTATTTTTTGCAATTTAATTTTTTTTTTTAGCTCTCACACTAAACTGCAGAAAAAAAAGTAATATATATAATTTAAAAATGTTTTTAATTATAAAAATTCAAAGATAAAAATTTTGAAACTATAAAATATATAATAAAAAAAAAGTATTTAAACTATTAAAAAAGTTTTTTTTTACTGAAATTAAAAAAAATAAAATAATAACATTCTGAGAACTTGTAAATTGCAAATAAATGTCTCTTTGCACATAAACTAGAGTTACAGTACATTACAGTATATTCTTGCTAATAATAATAAAAAAAGTAAATTGACATTAATTGGCGTTTAATTTGTAGCAGCCTTTTTTACTGTTAATTCTTTGACTTTGAAAGATGGGAAATGTGATTATGTGAAGCAAGCGTGTCTTTGACAGACGGTTTTCGACATGTACTTTGCTTTGGAGCATGCACTAAAGTTTTTTTTATTTAATTATTTAATGGAAGACGGGTAAAGTACACTTATTTTCGGTGGATAAAGTGATAAAATAAGATGGTAGAAGAAAAAAAATAATATGATAAAAAAAATAGGGTAAGAGAAAAATAAAAAATAAAATGCGTAAGAATCACTTATGAGTGAGACTGCATTGGATTAGTTTATTTTTTTTTTAAGTCTTTAATATGATTCAATTATATTCGATTTTTATTAGATTTATATATAAAATAAAATTATCATTAAATAATTGATAAAATGTATTTTAATGACATTAATTGATAAAATATTTAATATTATGAATTTGTTTGTCAACTTTATAAAATATTACTTAAAATATTAAAATTTTATTAACTTAAAAATATAATAAATATTATTAAATTAAAATTTAATTAGTCTAATTTCAAAATTTATATGTCTATCATATGTCATCCTCAATATTATATTTCAAGGTTTATAATTACAATGTCAATGTAATAATAATTAATGTGTTTTATAAGTGATTAATAATGTAATAAAATTATTGAAAACTAATATATTGATAACGTGATTAACCATATATGCTAAATGCACATTAGACGAATGATTTTTGTATGTACAAATATTATATTAAGTATACCATCATATTTGTTTTAAGAACATGAGGGAAACTTCTTTATAAGTTTTTTTTTTTTAAATAACAAGTAAAAATATTTTAAACTTCTAACATAAAATAAATATATAAGATAGACTTTAAATCGTTTGAATTTTGATTAATTTTTAAAGTCATATCTGAAATTTAATTTAATATAATAAAATACTTTTTATTTAATCAAATTTTCCATTGTTAATTTTTTGAGTTTTGAATTTAATTATTACGTTATCTTGAATGCATCCGTCCGGTCAATAAAAAATTATAAATTAATCAAAGGCATATATTCGATCAATCCAATTTATGTGGCATGTGTTACAATTCAATTGGATTTTGGTATAAAACTTCTTTTCATGCAGTGTCTTTTACACCGAACCAATTAGATGTCGTAGAAGTCAATTAACTTAAGCAACGGTCCAGATTCATTTTCTAAGACACACGTGTACGGCATTGAATAACCCAACTGTGAGTTATGTTCAATTTCGGTTCACCGTATCTTATATCCCTCTAATGGGAAAAGATCGAGTGCACCTCTCACACACCCTATCATACGATATGAATCTGTACTCTTTGAAAATTGTTTTGCGTTCACCGGCGTCGGAAAGATTATCCGGTTAGGGTTCCGGCCATCGCTGAGTGTACAGGATCGTAAAATCTTCCAGAAGCTTCTATGCTATTAGTTCGTATTATTACCATTCGCCAAGGTAATCAATTGCTTGCTCCCAATTCCTGAACTCGAATAGCTTCACTTGTTGAATTTCTCGCAATTTTGTTTGGTGAATTCCTTTGATTGATACATAGTAACGTAATTATCATTATTTGAAAATATAATATCAATGTCATGTGAGTGTTCATTCATTCTTATTAATTTATTTTATTCCCTTTTGCTACTTGCTGTGTTTGCGTTTTCCTTCGTTGTTACAATGCTGTGTTTGAAGGATGTCTGTGAACCGTGTTGAGAAGGACTTTCTCTTGTTGCAGGAGTTGTTAGGCACCGTTTTCATCACTTGGAGTCAGCAACGAATTTTCGGTGGATTTTTCGGGATTATTTTTCACCAGCAAAAATTGAAACAAATGGTATTTATGATTGTTAAGTATTACTGGATTGATTAGATTGTGTCTTGATTACACTCTTTTTTTTTCTCTTTGAAAATTGTTTTGCGTTCACCGGCGTCGGAAAGATTATCCGGTTAGGGTTCCGGCCATCGCTGAGTGTACAGGATCGTAAAATCTTCCAGAAGCTTCTATGCTATTAGTTCGTATTATTACCATTCGCCAAGGTAATCAATTGCTTGCTCCCAATTCCTGAACTCGAATAGCTTCACTTGTTGAATTTCTCGCAATTTTGTTTGGTGAATTCCTTTGATTGATACATAGTAACGTAATTATCATTATTTGAAAATATAATATCAATGTCATGTGAGTGTTCATTCATTCTTATTAATTTATTTTATTCCCTTTTGCTACTTGCTGTGTTTGCGTTTTCCTTCGTTGTTACAATGCTGTGTTTGAAGGATGTCTGTGAACCGTGTTGAGAAGGACTTTCTCTTGTTGCAGGAGTTGTTAGGCACCGTTTTCATCACTTGGAGTCAGCAACGAATTTTCGGTGGATTTTTCGGGATTATTTTTCACCAGCAAAAATTGAAACAAATGGTATTTATGATTGTTAAGTATTACTGGATTGATTAGATTGTGTCTTGATTATACTCTTTCTTTTTGAATTGTACGCTCTGTAACTTCTGTTTCTTTGAAATGGCTGAATTCTTCACACAATTAGTCAAGTTCACGTTGGATTGTAATGTAGAATAGTGCTGAATTTGTTTGTTACTTATTGGACATTGGATTCGAGGAGTTAATCATGCTATTATTTTGTAAGGTTGGTTGGGGTAGTGTTAACGCTTGTGGGTAGAAGAACTAAGGATTAAGTTCACACAAATGACATGGGGCACATAAGACGAAAAAGTGAGGGGTCTAACTGTTAAGGACAATATAAAAAACTAACAGTTGATAATATGATAAGATATATGTACATGTATAACAAACTGTGACTTTCTTAGAATCAAATACCTTGATTTTCTCATCCATAGTTGAGAGATCCTTCACCTTTTCTTTTAAACTAAACCTTCATTTTAGAAAAGTCAATTTCATATCGTAGAGGATATGACAGCCTTCATGTAACTAGATGTAAACATAAATGATGAGCCTTTGGTATGTTATGGCCATGTTTGGAAAGCACTTGTAGGAAACAAGCTTATTATTATTTTTCTTATGCCAAAAGCCACTTCTAAATGAGCTAGTTGGAAAGCATGAATTTCATGATTAGTAAGGAAGCTCAAACCCATGGGGTTAGTCATAGGAGGTCTGTTTTTTAATTGCTTTACTTTAGAGTGAGTATTACCTGCTTGTGTAACCCAATCTTGTGAATTTGGGTTGAACCTAACTCAACCCAAAAAACTAGTTCGTAAGGCGAAAATTGCCCTAACTTTTATAAGCTCTATTTCAGTCATATTTATAGTCAATCAGAATATCAACATCATCAACCTTTAGGTGCATCCTAGGCTTATCTTTTCAATTTCTTTTAACCTTCTATTCCTTCCGAAAGCCAATTTCCTTTGGCAGACATGTTGTGCTCCAGCATCAACCATCATACAAAATAGCAGTTCATCCACACCGGGGTGAACAAATGAAGCTCTAATACTGATTGTTATCCTCTTTTCTCCTATGTCATCTTGATTGAGTGACTGAAACAAAGACATTCTTTTAAGATGTACTGTTATATGTGAACCATACTTGAAGTTTTTGTTTTTTTTTTCTGCAGTCTTTGCAAAACAAGGGATTTTGGGTGGTAAAGGGTTCTGGACACATTAATGACAGAGAAACAGTATTTGATAATCCTTCCAAAATTGAACCAAAACGACCTCATCAATGGTTTGTTGATGCCGCTGAAGTAGATTTTTTTCCAAGCAAGAAACAAGCTGTAGAAGATGCAAATGAAAAATCTAGTCCTGGATTTTCAAATGTAAATTTTCCTCCCTGGGAGAATCCCAATTTTCATCCAGTCCCAAACCAATTTATTGGCCGGTTATTTGGGTCTGAAACCAGGCCTGTCAATTTCCCCGAAAAAAATACTTATGTTCTGGCTGATGATTCTAATGCAAGATTAAAGATGATCACCAACCAATATGGAGATGATGCATCTTTTGGCTTGTCTATATCTCATTCTATTGAAGATTCTGAAGCATGCGTAAATTTTGGTAGAATAAAAAAAGACAAAGTAAATCAGGTTAAGGAAGATGATGTACAGGCTACTGAGGGACATAATTTTAGTAAGCAGAGTAAAGGTGATCTACATCAGGCCTATAACAGGGAAGTTGAGACAAGGTCTGCATCAATAGGGCAAGCGTTTGACAAGGATGGTAATGCCACTTTTATGGGACTCACCTACAGCAGTGGGGATACACATGTTAGACCATTTAGTGCCCCCTTTATCAAAGATGACTCAATCGTTTCGATTAGTGAATCCTATAATAAAGAGGACACTAGTATAATTTCTTTTGGTGGGTTCCCAGATGAACGGGATATTATCTCTGTGGGTAGGCCTGCTGCAGAGTATGATCAATTATATAATCAATCTTCAATTCATGTGTCAACAACAACCCATGAGAAAGAGTTGGATGGGTCGAGTTCTGATGCAGTTCCAAGTACTCTTCAGGCAGCAAAAGTAAAGTCTGAAACTGTGTCCAAGAATAAACAAGAGGTCAAAACAGGAAGGAAAGAAGCTCCAAACAGCTTCCCTTCTAATGTCAGGAGCTTGATATCTACTGGTATGCTTGATGGTGTTCCTGTAAAGTATATCTCAGTGGCACGTGAGGTAAATTTTGGTCTTTATTGATGATTACTTCTGTTTGAAATGTTTAATAAGCTATACTCATATTTCTGCATGGATGAAGGAACTTCGTGGAATTATTAAAGGCTCTGGCTATCTTTGTGGGTGTCAGTCATGCAACTATACCAAGGTGAGTAATCCGCTGGTGTACTGAACAAACCTTAATTTAGGTTTTCGATTTCTTAAAATCTGTGATAGTTTGTTTACTCATTGACTGTTAATTTACATTATCAGGTTCTGAATGCTTACGAGTTCGAGAGACATGCTGGCTGTAAAACAAAACATCCGAACAATCACATCTATTTTGAGAATGGGAAAACCATTTATCAAATAGTACAGGAATTGAGGAGTACCCCCGAAAGTTTGTTGTTTGATACAATTCAAACAGTTTTTGGTTCACCAATTAATCAGAAAGCGTTTCGCAATTGGAAAGGTAATGAAATTCTTCTGTCCACCGTTTATAAACACATTCTTACATGCATAGGCAAGACTTTATTGTTTGTTTTTGTTTGGTAAGTCACTTATCCAATTTCTTTTATCTCCTGTCAACTTTATCCAGAATCATTTCAAGCAGCAACACGAGAGCTTCAACGCATTTATGGAAAGGAAGAACTTAACCTATAAGTCCCATCCCTTTGTGAAAATGTAACTTAGAATATATTCTAGTGTGCATAGTAAGATATGTCAGTTTAATATTTTTCTTTTTCCTGTCTTTTTATGGCTCCGCAACCTTCATGAATGTGCACCTTTCGGGGCCTTGCTTAAAATATTGGTAACTTTATAAGTTGGCTCATGTACAAATCAGTGGTATTAGGTGCTTTGGTCGACAGAATTGACTAAACATTATCAAGAAGGCTAATTTTGTTAGTTGTTACTGGACTAAACTCGTAAGTGGTGAAGTGTCACGTAAATATTTATCTCCTAATATACAAGATAAATTCAAGTAAATCTAATAGTTCCTCTTAGGTTGGCAATGGATTCTAGAAACGAAGGTCAAGGTTGTGATTGAAGGTGGGTAAATAATTCCATAGGGATATATAAAGTACTAGTCAGGGGCCTTTTTAACATTATTAGGAAAAATTGCCACAAATCATGCCAGATTTGGAATAATTAATGCACTGGCCAGAAGCCTGAGAAAAAAATATATTTAGCAGCTTCGTGAACCGATAAATCCTTGGAGGCTTTAATAAGTAGGATAACATCTACAAACTGTGATTTAATGGGACAAGGAGAGGTGAATATGTAAGATTAATAATGCACGGCTTTTTGAAAAAGTAAAGAGAGCAGCTTTGCAACAAGAATAAACAAGTAGGGAGAATATGAGATGAGTTTCCTTGAATGAGGCCTAATTGAGGGTATAATGTAGAATTGACATGGTCATGTACCTTGTAGGAAACGAAGGTCATTAGCAGCACAACTCATGGGACCTAACCCTCTTTAAAACCAAATTCAAGTAAAATGTAAAACCCTTTCAACGAAAGGTCATTCCATGCTGTTATAAGCTTTGTTCATATCCAATTTGATTGTTGCTCCTCTTTTCCCTACCATGTGTTTCCTCAAGTCATGAAAAATATCAGGAGCAATAATTGTATCATCTTGTATGAACCTTCCACCCACGAAGGCACTCTAAAAAACGAAGATAAGTTGTCCCATCTATGGTCTCAAACTTAATAATTATTAAGATAACCTTTGCATAAAAGAATTACAATACTAGTTGATAGGTTTGAATTCATTAATATTCTCAAGATATCCTTATTTTATACTCTTAGGACAACTTGAAGACAGATCGATCAGATGGGTACCCTCCGAGGAATACCCTGTCTGAAAATGAACAAGAATGCAGCTTACCATTAACCAGGCTGTCTTAACGTATCGAATAATTCATTTGTTTGCCTTTTGATGTTGTATGAACTGTAAAAGGTAGTCGTTGGGTTGCTGCAGCACAATTTTCTTTTAGGAAGAGTACTAATACGCAATGATGAATATTCATGAAACCCTTTGTTGTGTTAAATAAAGGATCGTAGATGAACTTATAAATACGGACAATGTTGTCTACAATAGCATGTTAATTCCTCTCGCGGCATTGCTACACATTGCAATGTCACAACGCAGAAGTACAAGTAAACTTTAAGTACCCCTGACTTAATTTTTTATCAGGTTTCATACTTTTTTTTTTATCAACTATATCATAATTTTTTAAAAAGTAATTTAAGTATACGGGTTGTATTTATATTTCACCGGATTGCCTATAAGACAGATTACAAAATTTCAAAATGTGTACCAATCCACGGAATCCAGCACAAGCCATCGCATTTATACACTGAAAGAAGAGAAAAAACAATATTCAATGAATCTCACGTCCCCCAACCAAAGAAAATCAGGGGCTGTTAGACATGCAATCACCACAATCACATTCAGTTTTGGATTTAATGCATAACTTGTTAAAAAAGTCAGACACTACTTATCACACACAAATTTATAAAGAATGACAAGGTTAAGAAGCACAAGTCAGCAGCATCATCATCATTATACACGTAATTTCTTCATTCCTTGTTCATGGACAATAATTTTGCCTTCAATTTGTAACATTTGTCTTCAACCACAACAAGCCGATTTTTGCGCAGCCTGCCCAGCCCCTCCTGTCTGGTCTTGGTTGATTTTGATTGTTGATGGCTGCATTTAAAATATCGCCAGATATTCAACTTGAGAGGGAAAGATAAGAGATATGGAAACATGGAACAATTGACACACATTAAAGTATTAAACTCGAGAGAGGAAGTTAATGTATGTGTTTGGATTAGCTTTCATTTCCACCAAAATTAATTACAAAATAATGTTGAAGGCTAAAGCAGCAACTAGTTAATTCAACTTTTTAAAATTTTCACCATGCTTTTGAGGGTTAAAATTGAGTCTAGGTGGTATCCAAATACACTAAAAATACCTCTGCCTTGGAGTCATTGTCAGACAGCCTTTGTTTTATATCTCTTGCTATTGAAAAGAAAACTTCCTCCACATTTAGATTTGTCTTAGCACTCTGCAATAATGTTTTTCATGAGCATCTATATAATAACATAGAAGTTCAGGGTGTTTCCACATTTTCAAGTATACACCACTTACAGTTTCAAAGAATTTGATTCCATACTCATCAGCCAGTGCTTGGCCCTTGGATGTAGGCACAGCCTTAAAAGAAAGGGGAAGGTATGTTATTATCACAAACATTTCAAATCTGCAGGCATGCATATGTACGTAAGAGAGAGGAGGCTCCCAGATGTTAATAATTCAATTGATGGCATCACATCAGAACTCAACCCCTTTCAAACCTCAATGATGGTTTCTCTAACAAAAATATGTTTCATTCACTTGCAGTATAACATGGTTTCTCTAACATACTCAATGATGAAATTCAACCAACAGTAAAACTTGCATAACAATGATGGAAGAGAATTTGATGAAAGTAATAGTTGGTTTATTAAGCCCATTTGCCCTTAGCTCTGCAACTCTGTTCAAATCAAATTGGTGTTTGGAAGATTTTTACTTTGCTCTTGCAAGTTGTAAAAGAGGCCAGGAAAAAAACAAATACCAGGGTTTCATTAACCATTCCGACAAAGTTAGCTTACCCTTTTGCTTTCATCCATATCAGCTTTGTTCCCCACCAGTATTTTGTTAACATTGTCTGAAGCATGTTGCTCAATATTGCGAATCCAATTCCTGATATCTGAAATTGGCCGAAGCTGAATGAATATTCCAGATGCAAAAAATCTAAAGTTTGAATAGTTATGTACAGATTTGCAAATTTCAAACTTAAGCAACAGTTGGGAACTTTACTGTTAAATGATGCTTCATCTGTAACATCATAGACTAACAATATGCCCATTGCACCACGATAGTAAGCTGCAAAAAACAAAAATGATTTTAGGAAAATATATGTAGCACAAAAAAAATTTTAAATAACAAACATCCCTACTTGTACATTTTGCTTTATAAAAAAAACAATGAAAGATACAAGAATTTTAAGGTGACATTAATGAAAATTGAAAACAATGGTAAAGGACAGTTATGTATGAAGTTTGACTCTTGCAGTTGACATATTGATCCTAACATAGTGATTGAATGGAGGAGAGGGGAGGAGATGGATTTTTATAAACTTTTGTTGTTTGATTCATTTTTTAAGAGGGGGGGGGGGGAAGCAAAACAAACATTTTCAGTATAATATCCTTATGTTTTTAAATTCAAAATTATCAGGGTGCAAAAGTAAATTAGTTCTTAACATCTCCCCCCCCCCCCCCCTTTTCCTCCCTTTTCTTGTGAACTAAATAAGAAAAAAGCTGCATCTCCTTCCCTCCATTAAAATCTCTCCTCTCCTTAATAACCAAACATAATTTCTAACCCCTTCCTTCTCCCATCCTCTGAACCAAACAAACCCTAAGGGTAAGTTTAGAAGTTAGGTTTTGGAAAGGAAAGGGAGAGCAAATATTACATTCCTAATCAATATTCTCTAATTTTATTTTATACTTTCAAGTGAAAAAAAATAATATAATAGACTTGATGTGTTAAGCTTTTGTGTACTTTTATAAACATTATATAAAGATCTATTAAAAGTAAAACATTTGCCCTTCCCTCCCTTCCCCTCCAAAACCTATCTCCCAAACATATCCCGAATGAATCTCTGCAATATTCATCTAACATTAAACAAAGGCTCACTGGCTCTAGTATTTTTACATCAATAACAGTTAGTAATTAACTTGAGTAAGAATCTACATGCAAGATATTCTAAGCCTCGCATAAACTTTTTCACCCATTAAGCCTCCAAGGTTTGCAGTGGAAACAATGGCAATCAAAAACAATGAGCAGAAGACTATTTCAGGCTTCAGCAGGGACAGAACTAGGGGATTCAAATTTTGCATTATCCTAGGGATTTAGAATTATCATCTTCAAACTTAATCTGTGAACTGCTAATATAATCAGACATATCAAATCTGAAACTGGATAAGAATTATGATGTTTCTCACTGGTTAATTCCCTATTCTTTCTTGTCACTATTGCTCTGATTTTCTTTAAGCTTTTGTTTTCTATACTATTCCTACTTTGCTTTTTTGTTCTATCACTACCTTTTAATCCTAGATCAGGAAATACCATAAATCAGATGACAACTGCGAAGCAAAGAGTTTTCATATGTCACATACAATGATACTAAAATCAACAAAAATAATATCTATAAGATCACAAACCGTACCAGTTGTAATTGTCCGAAACCGCTCCTGCCCTGCAGTATCCCAAATTTGGAGCTTGATCCTTTTGCCATCAAGCTCAATGGTTCTTATCTTAAAATCGATTCTACATAGGAAGGATAAGCCTTGTGATGTTAGAGAGAGAAACTTATGGAAGACAAAATTCTGCAGTATTACTCCTAAGCTGTAAAAACATACCCTATAGTTGTGATGAAACTAGTAGTGAAAGAACCATCGGAGAAACGCAGAAGGAGACAACTTTTTCCAACACCTGCAAAAAGACAAAACTTACAGGCATGTTCCACGCAAAAGCAACACGATTATTCCATAGTGATTTCTACAATGGCCATTACAATACTTCTAATCCTTGGCGAAGCATCAACCAGTGCCATAACTCTTCGTTTTAGGAAAAAGAACATTGAAGGTACAACCACACAAAAAAACAAGGCACAAAAACATCTTGGGGAAGCAACTAGACCGCCTAAGGCATATTTTGGCAAACAAATACTTTGAAATAAACAAATTATCAATGGATCAAAGAGAAGGCTGGTTTTAAACGATAACCACACAGATCAACACGAATTTGCAATTCAACCTCTTGACACCAAAATTTGCGTCACAACAAGTCAACAACAATTCAAATGCTGCCTCAAACCAGATCACGAAAAGATCGAACTTTTCATGAGTTAAAACAAACCCCATTTCAAAAAGACTAGATGTGCATTTGCCACGAACTCCAAACTCAACGATTCGAGATAAAAAATAATAATAATAAATGGCGAAATTACAAAAAGGGAACCCCAAGTGAAAGAATCATGATTTATCATTGTGTGGAAAAATAGCCCCATCCATAAAAAATAATAGTTTTTTAATATTTTTTTGGCAAAAAAACAATTGAAAAAAAGAAGACTTTACCGCTGTCACCGATCAAGAGAAGCTTGATGAGATAATCGTAATCGGCACGAGCCCTTGCCGGTGGAGCAGCCATCAACTTTCAAGATATAATATTTGTTTTTGATGAAAGGATGGAAGAGTGAGTGTGTGAGATCGGGAATGGGATCTCGTCCAAAGCTGAGAAGTGAAGGAAGATGGGGATTTTTTGGAGAGAAAAAAAGGGTGGTGGTGGTGGTGCTTATTTTTGTTTTGCTTTATTGAAAAATAAAAATGGGAAATAGGAATGAGGAGAAGGAAGGAACAGTATGAGTAGGAGACAAGGTGGAGGTGCTCGCAACCTTGTACTTTCAAGCTGCCCCCGACTATTCTGCCTGTGCCTGTGGATTCTCTCTCTCCACCTATGCTATAAACATCTTACAATAATTATTATTATAATTTTTAAGTCTATATCATATTTTATTATATTAATTTTAATGGATGAATCATTATAATTTAAATAATTAATTATTAAACTTAATTTATTTAAATAAATTATTTTACTTAATAATTTATTATTTATTAAATTTTAATGATTCAATATTATTAACTTGTCATTTATATTCAAATTCAAATCTAATAGCCCAATTGTTATAGTTAATGCAAAAATATATATATAAATTTTAAATTTATAATTATTATTTGGTATTTTGTAAAGTTTCATAACTCGATTAATATAACAAAATATGATATAGATTTTAAATTTATAATTTTTATTTGACATTCTAATATCTTTATAACATTTTAATAAACAATTCAAGTTTATAAATTTTTATAAAAATAAAAATTTATTAGATACTTCATTATAATAATTTTTAATAGTTTTTTTTATTAGTAAAAAAATACAAATAATAAAAGATAAAATAAAATAAATTAATTATTCTTTAAATACAACGTCCCTCTTATATCTCTTAGTAATAATAAAAATATATGAGTTGACCAAAAAAGTTATAGAACTAAAATGTTGGACAAGATATTTTCAACTGTTATATTTCCTTCGCGATAACATGATGGAAAAAAAGACTTCGTGGAATACCTGAAGAGGCTCTGCTTTTATAAATTAAAAAAAGTATAGGGGTGAATCAATGAAACTTCATCGTTAATAAGAGAAATAGTGACCTACTAATCAAATTTACACATTATATTTAGAAAATTACATTATTGAGTTATAGACAAACCATAAAAAAAATATATCAATAGTTCAACATTAGCATTTGAATTGAAACTACATGGACTCGCATATCCCTTTATTTAATTTCCAAGATGATTTTTGAAAACTCCATCAAAATTGAAAAAACTATATTTCCTTTGGAGCTACCAATTATATTTAGCTTAACAAAATGTTCCGAAGATGGATTTCAACCTATCATTAAGTATTAGTACTGTTGAATTTTAATGTAAAATATGAACTATTAAGTGGAGTAATTCAACTAAAACTTAATTTTTGAGTAAGTAAATATCTATATGTTTTTTCATTATATAATTTCACTTATTTTATGTTTTAGTCTCTAAAAACTAAATATTTGATATATTAATTGATTATTTGATTTATTGGAATAAGTAATTAAGTTTTCAAACTACAAAAATTGTAGATAGGATCTTGGTTTTTTTTATATATTTTATGTAATTTAGTTCTTAGGTTCAAAATTTGTTTATAATCCATGAAATTTCATGAATTTTTTTTTATATTTCAATACACGGACAATCACACCAAATTATTATTCTATGTGTATCAAATTTTAATTTTTATTCATTAACGTGAAATATCGTTAATATGGTATGATTGTATAGTATGATAATATAAAAGATATTTTGTGAATTTGTAAATGAATTATCAACCTTAAAGAATAAGTTTAAAAAAATTAGTAGAACCTAATTACATTTTTTTAAGTCTAGGGACCTAATTGAAAATTTCTAAAAGTCTGAAGATCAAATGATGTATTAAACCTAGTTTAGAATAATCTTCTTTAGTTTCTATGCATTAATCCTAGTTTGTTTTTAACATGGTTTAATATATAAGTGATGTAAGCTTATTAAATCTACATGACACTGACGTGATTGGTGTGGTGGATGGTGACATATGATATGATGGTTTGAGAGGAGAAAATAAATAGTATTGTAGATCTTTGGTTGATATGAGTTTTATTTCTTATCTTCTTTAACGTATTTGTAAAGCAAGTGAAAAAACTTGATTCATCACCATCTTTTTAAAATCATCCTTTAATCATAATTGCATAACCCAATAACTAGGACATATTGTAAATGTTTGTCCAATATTTATTTTAGCTTTTGAAATACACAGTCTCACCCTCCATATACGTGCACAATAAGATATCCCTAAAGATGATCTTCTACTCATTGAACCATTTTTCTCCTCACTTGATGAAAAATGACTCATATTTGTATTAATCACAACTCAAACCCTATATTAAAACATTCTACCAACAATTTTGACAACATTACTCTTGAAAGAGAAACACCCAAAACTCCAACAATGGTTATCTCAATAATAAATATTACAGATTAAAGTAAATAGCAAAATACAAAATATTGAGGTCGAACAAGACCAAATATAGGATAATTCGTTTAAATAAGAATCAAATTCATGTTAGAAATATAAACGTGAACACAACTTTATCATATTAACGTATTCGGAACAAAGTTAAACTCAAATTAAGAGATGAAACTATATATAAGAGAGAAAAAATGTATATACAATAATTAAAGTATTATTTTGAACCACAAAAACTTAATTATTCATTTAATTTATAATCTTATTTGATTAACTTAATCTAATTATTTCATTATTAAAACATTCGATTTGATTATTTAAATTTTTAAAATAACGCAATATAATTATTTTTATCTAATTAAGACAAATATTATTAACTCTTTATACACACATATAATAATATAAAAAAAACATGTTTTGCCACATGTATACAAATCTAACATCATTAGAATCAATTAAATACAAAAGACTACACTGCATCGTTTTAAAAAATAAAATAAAAATAAATATTTTAATAAAAAGGAATGAAATCGAAACAATTTAATAAAACGAGAGAGCTTGAATAATTTAATCATCATAAAAACGTATATGAAATTTCTCTTTCCTATTGTAGTCTTACTCGAATTTTAATGTTATTCGGACAAAAGTTTTAAATGTATATGCCATATTACATATTATAGATGGAAATTATGTTTTCACGTGTTCCCCTTTTTTCCCTGCAAAACCCAACAGTTGGGCGTAGTTAATTGTTATAGTTTTCTCCTACCATATAATTAATCAATATAATAATAATAATAATAATAATAATAATAATAATAATCGTTCTATTATATATTAGTGATGAGTATACTTCTAATTTTAGAATTTCGAACGATATGATTAAAGACGTAGAGTGTGACCTATCCTTTAAATAGCATATTACCATGAAAATGAAGTTTAATACAAGCTTTGAACCACACCGATAAAGATTGATACGGCCTTGACCTTATCCACGAGGACAAGATCACAAGACATCGTGGAAACAAAAACTAATCCCTGTTTCTTTCATTTTTATTTGTTATTTTTTGATAATTAAAACATGACTTGGTCTCCATGAATGAAGCAAAAGCAAGAAGTTTTTCCCCTAACGAAACAAAAGAAGAAAAAAAAGAAGAAAAAAAAAAGAGGTTATTATTGTCATTTTCACGCATGAATAGGTTTTCCATAACCTTAGGAAAAGTGCATAAAAACACAAAAGCAAAACTACGGTGAAAAGTTATATATTATGTCAATAATAGTCAAGAACATTACAGCTACTCTGGAACGAATTTATTTATTTTTAAATAAATTTGACCATTCCTTGGTAGAACCACCGGAATGTCTTTAATATATGTGATAATAATTTTGTATAAATTATTTATTTTGAGAAAAGAAAACCTTAAGTAGTCTTTATTATTATCTTTTTTTTTTTTGTCATGTAAGCCAAATAACAATATTATTGGTTAAATGTTTATCTGATTTAATGGTTGATTGATTTAGATTCGGTGATTGAGATACATGTGTGAATTAATCTGATATATTAACATATAATTAAATCATTAAAGTTATGTTTTTCTCTCCATTTCAAACCAATCAAATATATTTTTTATTTTATAATTATTTATCCCTTGTGTGTTACTTTATTTACAACTTTTTTTTTTCATCGCATTCAGTTATTTATTGCCTTTTCCTTTACTGTATTTATCTAAATTCACTTCAACGATTGTTAGAAAGGTATTTGAAACAGGAATTGTTGATGGTGGTTCTTATCCCCAAGGTGGAGAACCCCAAAACTTTCAAGGATTTTCGACCTTTTAGTATATGTAATGTCATTTATAAGACAGTGATTAAAGTAGTGGTTAATAGAATGAGGCCTCTGCCGCAGAATCTTGTTCAACCTCTCTAGAGTACCTTTTATTCCTAGAAGGGGGACAACAAATAATGCAAAATATATATATATATATATATATAAATATTAATTCAATTATGTTTGATGTCAAATATATTTTACTATAATTACTTCAAATTAGATTTCTTGATATTTGGTTTTTTTTTTTATGTGTGATGTTCATTGTTGAAATATATTTTATACATATACAAAATTGAAGACTTTCTCATCTCGGCACAAAATAGACAATGTTGCAATTTTTTTTAATAATATAGACTAAATAAATTAAAAATAATAAATATAAAAACTAAAAAGTTGCATTTTATAAGGATTAAAAAATATAAGTACAAAGATTAAAAATGTTTATTTTAAACTATAGGGACTAAAATATAAAATAAGTAGAAATATATTTTTAAGTATAAATATTTAAATGAATGAAGTAAAATATAAAAAAAAAAATTATCAATATGTTATATTTGAATTAAATCAAATAAAAAAATATGTTTTAAACAAATATTTTTTTTTAGTTTAATTTTTTTGTTTTCATTTAATTTCTTTCCTTTCAAGTAAAATTCAATGGCACGTATATTGTAAGCCACGTATATTCGCACTCAATGCTCAACTCCAACTATATGCTCTTCGTTGTGCCACAGCTATTAATGTCAGAACTGATAGCTTAGTCTGCCAACAATTGGATTATTTGGGAATAAAAAATGTTAATGGAATATGTAAAAATTAGAAAATGAGTAAGAGAATATTTAAATGTGAATTTTATAAATTCAACTGTTAAATTGAAAGTTTATATCACTTTATGTTTGTATATTAAATTTTGTTAAAATTGAATAACAATTTAAAAATGATCAAAGTGTTTATATTTTAGTATATTTAAAAATGAATATATTACGTTAATTTTATTTTATAAAAATGAAGTATCAAATCATCTTGG